AATTATAATTTCTTTTACATAATTTAATGTTTGTTACACTCATATTGAATTATACAGACATCTGCTGTTTATGCACAACTACTGTTTTGGTTTATACCCCCAACTCAACTTTATTTGCATAAAGTTTTATGAAATTAAGTTCAAGCACAGAAAAAAAGATCCCTACCAACTTTTAACAAACATTAAAATAAAAGTTCTCATAAAGATAACATTCTCAATGAACCAATAACAAAAAAAACATGAAGTCACATGTAGTTCAAAGAAACACTATTCTCAACAAGGGTAACACTGTCAAATATTTAGTGAAAATATGATATAGAACCACATAATTAACACTAAACAGAATGACAAACAGAATGATAACATATACTAACTACAAACAACTATATTTATCGCCTTAATTATAGACATAACTAATATTCACACAGCCAATCATTGTGTATGCTGAACAGTCAGTGCTACACAAGTCGTGTTCAACTTTACACAGCTCTGCACAGACCGATCAGTGTCTGACACGAAACTGCATGTTGGTTTGAGTGTTTGACCTGAAAGCCACCTTCACACTCAGTCGACACAGTTTCTTGAGAATGGCTGCACAAGCCACACGCCACTATTTCATGATTGCCCGGATTCACTGATGACAAGTATAACATGTGTTTTGTGTTTATTCTTACATTATGTTGTTTCACACATCCTTCAATTATGGTATCTCACAAATCTGTGACAACATGTGTCGTTTACCAAAATAAAACTGATTTAAAAATGTAGACCCTGTTTTTTTACTGTCTTCATGTTTTATGATGCAAACTTGTCCAGAGATCCACAGTATCAGTTGTACATGAGCAAGTCAGTGATTAGCTACACCTGGAGGATCTAATCAAGCCTACCTCACCTTTATGACATATGTAGCCATCAAATGTGACCACCAGAGGGCACAGCCTTCCATATGAGACACAGCAACTGACAACAAATGTGTTTTCTGTAAAGGTTGTAGCTAATCCCAGGAAAGTGTCTCTCCAGGAGCAGGAAGACCTTTCATTATATTAAAGGGGTCATATGATGCGATTTCAAATGTTCCTTTCTCTTTGGAGTGTTACAAGCTGTTCGTGAATAGATAAGATCCCTGAAGTTGCAAAGACTAAAGTCTCAAAACCAAAGAGATATTCTTTATCAAAGTTAAGACTCTGCCACACCCCCCTAAAACGGCTCGTTCTAACATGCCACCACATATCTAGGTCACTATGTGGGAATATTTGCATAATGCGCCCAAATGTTCACGCAAAGAAAGAAGGCGTGATAATGATCTTTAAAAAAGCATCATATGACCCCTTTAAACATTTGTGGCTTCAGAAGGATGATCTGCTTACAACAGGTGTATCCAATCCTGCTCCTGGAGGACCACCTTACTTAGGCTTAAATTCAAAGGAAATATGTTCTATGCTATAGTCTATGCAAACACAAAGCAATTACAGTCTATGCTGTGGTAATATGAGTGTTGATTGGCTGTGGGAGATGAATATTTAATTAGCTGTGTCTGTTCAAGCTGTCTGTGCTTATTATTGATGTTGTAGTTAATATGGGATATAGTTCTGTTTGTTGTTCTGAGTTCTGTTTAATAGCAATTACGTGGTTCTGGTGTTTGTGTTACCTTTGTAGAGAACAGTGTTCCTTTGAACTACCTGTGACTTCAAATTATGTGTTTTTTATACTTGAGTGGATGTGTTTTTCTAGCTTTGATGGTTTTGTATTGTTGATGAGGTACCTGAGGCAAGACTTAAAAAATACAATTTATTTGCATTTTTAAAAACTTTTTTTACTTTTTGTTTTTATTACATTTTTTAAATATTAGAACAAACTCTGTGGTGTGGAGGATGATTGCTCATTTTTGAACATGATGGTCAACTACTAATAACTTGAAATGTGAAAGTCTGTCTTCAAATCCCACAAGTAGTAGTATAGTGTTTCATCACCTTTTCAAACCTTGTTTAAACGAAGATGAAATCCACAGATTCAGTGGCTCAGAAGGTAAAACACTGTGTTTCAATCATGAAGACCGGAAATCAAATCCCATTATTGCTTGTTAAATTGTTGGCATTAAATCCAACAAAGTGCCCCAAACACCATCACTCAGTGTGAGAGCCACAGTGGCACTAGTGGCTAAACACATGTTCTATATGTTTAAGGCTGCAAGTGAGACATGGGTTCAAATCCCACCTTAGTGTGTTGAGATATTAATCAGCCAAAAGAAAGCTTTAACTAGTTTATTGTAAAATCACAGGGCACATACAGGTTAACAGTGAACTATAAGTTCCTTCACACATTTCAACAAGAGATCTATGGCTCACAGGTAAGAACACTGCCTCATGGTTCAGAGGTTGCTGGTTTGAGCCCAGGCAAATCTCTGCATTATGAGTGAAGGGGTGGGGATGGTTGGGGTCCCAGCATAATGTTTGGCAGTGGTTATGCTTTTCAGCTTGAAAAAAAAATAAAAATATTTTTTTAATCCCCATCTCTTCCCCACCTACTTAGGTTACCATCATTTGCTTTTTAAAGGAACGATACCTCAAAATGAAAATCATGGTAACCTACACATTTACTAGCCAACAACACACATTATTACCTGTCCATGAGCAGATGTCCATCATTAAAGCAAATATCTTTCCACATGTCCCAGAGCTCTGCATCTGTTGACTGGGTGTCCAAACACCCTGTTTTCTGTAGGGTAAAGACATAAATAATTACTCCATACTGTAACATCTGATTATAAAGTTAATAAATGTAAATTGATATATACTTTTTATATCAACAGAGTGATATAAACGGGATGAACTGGATCTAATGGTCCATAAATCATGTGAACTACAAAGATAAAAGAGTGAAAACACACTGCACAGCCTGTGTAGAATCTTCGTCAAGAATGTTTATAGAAAAATATAAAAATATGTACATTTTCCTAAAGCTGTACAGTGTGAAAGAAATTTAGCGGAGTATATAATTGTTATTCTGTAATGCTGTCCCAATAATAATATTTGGATCTTTGTACTCGCATGCTGTTGAAGTTAGCTTATGGCCTTCTACCTGTCTCTGTGTTTCTGTGTTTCTGAGTCTCTGGTTAATATACTGCAGAGTACTAGACAAAGATTATGAAGCAGTAAGTACAGATTAAAACCTGGTCTATCTTTTGTGATATCAATGTCACTTTAAAAATGACACGAATGTATAATTTTTTACTGATGGAAAAATAATTTAGGGTAAACATAAATACGAAAGCAGGTGCTTTGTTGAACACCCATGATTATAATAACTTTTAAGATAAATGCTATGACAAATATATAATCGTAAATTGTGTCCCTCTCGTGGCTGAAGCATAAAACTACAAGTTACTTGTGGCGGAAGATAGTTTTGGTAATTATGTGAGTTGTGCACCACTATTATGCACGGATGAATCTGATGGCTTGAGTCACCTTAAATAATAAATCAATAAATAATGAAAAAAAGATGTGCATCTAAAAATATGTCTCTTTAAGCAGCTTTTTGTATTGACTTGTTGAAATCAATTGTTTTAAAATAACGGTACAAAATGTTGGCATTGCTGACATGAGATATAACAAATGCTATTCAGTTTCCTGGGAAATCCATCCCTACCGCTCTAAAATATAAATGATTATTATAGTCCCACTGTAGCGGTTCATAAGGCAAAAACACAATTTGGCAATGTGGATTTATGATGCACTCGCTCATTATTTAAATTTTTGTAACTTTAGAAAGTGACATAGTGTAGCTTTAAATGTTTAATTGTTATATCAGTCATTAGTTTTTAGATTATAAATGTCAACAGCCATTTAGACACGCTACAGGCTTAAATGACTGATTATTTACGCCCATTGTTTGGAAATGCCCGCCTGCACAACAGGGCGGGGCTACACGTGTCCCTCCGCCCCATAACTACTCTAATGGGCTCGGTTGGGTTGGTGAAGGCCTGAATAAGGTGGATAAGCTGTGCAGTTTTACAAAACCTTAATTAGAAAACTATTTAGCAAAACTAAACGTGAGCTGGCATTGAGGCTTACGCACAAAAAGTCAATACCATTTTCAACATTTAATAATTAATTTAATAAATTTCTCTCTGGATTGCGAGGCCAATCTTTTTTTTTTCTCTGTACATCATAATGAATGCTTTGTGAAATTGTACATCACTGTATCGTATATATAAAACGACCCAGCTAATAATAACGTGGATGTGGATGATAAAAAAAATAAAGCAGTTTTCCATCCGTTCCACTAGGCGGCATCAGCGAGCGTAACTTTCAGCCTGAACACCGTTAGATCCGTGACAATTCATCACATTCATACCATTTAATGTCATGAAAGTACAGATTCTGTAGTTACAGACTCTTAATGTCACTCAATTACAGCCTGTCAGCAAACAAAAGCGACACAAACTGCGATAAAGTGCAGGAATCGAGTGTAACGCGACTCACCTGTAAGTAACTTTCCGCGTGAAGTGCTTCTGTACGTAACGTTAGTCCCTCCTACTACTTATGTTTTGCATTAAAATAATTCTGTAAGTTTCTATTGATGCTGTAGTGTTTACACGCCGGTGTTATTATTGATAAACTGGGGATGTGGGTTAAGTAATTCTAACATGTTGGTAACAAGGTTCATAAACCACGCCCACGTTATCTTGAGACGTTCACTTTAATAGAAAATGACAATTACACTTAAACGTATGTTATACTACTCTATTTATACTTTTTTTTTTTTTAGATTTAACCACAACATTTAGATTTGAGTTGTGCATTTAAATGAATATAAATTGGCAGTGTTAAAGTTCTCCCTCAATGTGGGCATCTTCTGCTCTTATATTTAGTTGTTTTTACTTTGTTTTAAATAAACCAATAAAATAGCAAATGAATTTGACAAGTCAGTGGCCAACGTCAGTCCTGGAGAGCCACAGCCAACCCTAATCAAACACACCTGAACAAGCTAATCAAGGTCTAAAAGCAGCAGGAAGGCGAGTTTTTATCAAGGTTGGAACAAAACTCTGCAGGACTGTGGCTCTCCAGGATCGACGTTGGCCACCCCTGATGTACGCCATGCTTCTTCATTGTAAAGCAGCAGGTACCAGCCGTGTGAGGAAGGTTACAATTTTTACAAATAAATGTGCAGAATGTCTGACTCGATTGTAATCAGATTTTACACTGCAGTGGATTTCTGCCACAACTGTTTTGAACCAAATGATCTGCAAATTTATTAAATAAATAATGTGTATTGTTTCTAAAGTTGCATTAAAAATAGTCTTTTTGGGTGATGAACAGTTGACTGGAGATGGTATAAGTGGCAACAATGCACTGACATGCAAATATCTGATAGAAGAGAACCCTCACTTTACATTTAGAAACATGCTCAATTAGAGACAAACACCATTTTCACATTTTCTGGGCGTAAATAGTTTTTTTTTTGTTTATTTAATGCAAGTTTTTGCATACTGGGACTGGTTGAAAAAGAATAGTTTCCACGGTTACAGGCTTCTTGAAATTGACAGAAGTATGCAAAAACAATCAATAAACAAAAGAAAACTCTTTACATGCATGCAGGGCAACAGTATTTTCCAGATGTGGAAGGTCTGCCCACACAGTCCATACATTCAGTCTAAGGAGGTCAAAGGTTACATAATGGCATGATACAAGAGAACAGCTACTCCAGCTTTCTCAGTGTGTACTTTTTTCACCCATTGGTCAGGTTCGTTTTTGCATGTATTCTTCTCTCCACGAGAACAGCGGAGGTCTGAAAGGTCATCTTTTGACAGTGTGGATATGAGTATGTTGGTCACGAGTATGTGACAGTTATGTAAAATGCTTGAAAAGTGGTTCACAAGCCAGTGAAACTGTATAAGAGGCTGTTATGCGTACCAGTTTCTCTTAAAAGTGTGATGGCAATCTTTTCCCACAGCTCCACAACCCCTCCTTCATCAATTCCTTCCTTCATAAGAAGGGCCTGTGCTAACTGATGTGAAAATTCTGTTCATAAATCAAGCTCTCTCATGAATGGAAAAACTTTAAAACAATTGACACAAATGCACCACAGGATGTGGAATCTTGCTTTTTTTTGTTCTAACAATGTGAAAAGATAGTGAAAGTTATCCTTTTATGGCAAATTCTTAAATTTAATATTTATAAAATTGGCTTTATAATTACATTGATCAATACAATATAAAATAAATGCACAAGTCGAAATGGAATGTCTACAATAGAATGTTGAGAACTATAACAGATGAACAGAATAATTTATTGCTCATGCACCAATTTTTATGTTACAAATCCTGACACAAAGTGTTTGGTGGCATACTGTCATCAGGCTACAAGTATCTGAATGGCACATTGTTTGCTCTCTCAACCATAGAAAGTAGTTTAAAGCTTTGGTGATTAACATCCTTGAAAGAAACAAAAAGGGAGGTTCCAGTTCCAGACATGTGAAGTCTATTTACAGTACATTTAAATATGCAATGAAATGATCAAATAGCAATAGTTTATATATTCTATTTAATGAATACTTTATTTAACATTATTGAAAAGGGACTGTCTGAGTAAACAAGAAACAAAACAAAAACAAATAACTATGAATCGGAGTAATTTATTATTTCTTAAAATATTTGGGTCAATAATATGAACCCATACATCAGTGGTAATATTTGCACATAACAGAAGGGTTACAAAGGGGGTAATTTTTATTTTTGGGTGAACTATCCCTTTAAAATCTATAAAATGCAGTGTAAGATGTTCAGCACATCCTCCACCAGAGGGAGACATTACACCACAGGAGCCGTCTGTATGTTTTGCGGGGTCACAGACAGCACTGGATTGATTTACAAATTAGTTAAATGAACACATTTAAGAAAACACTTAATTCAACTTAAAAATTTTAATTAGCAAATTCCTAACACACACACACACACACACACACACACACAAAACAGCATAAAACAAACAAACAAAGACACGTGCAGATTTAATAAAGTCTACAGAAGCAATTGACTATAATGTAGCTGTTCTACACATGTATGGACAGGAACAAGGCATGTTTTTACATTTAATTATTAAAGCTGTTTTTTCTCTCCGTAGTGTGTACATCTACAGCAAGTCACCAGGCTGAACCAGCGGTGCTTCAAACAAGAGAACGTGAAGCAGGAGTGACACTGTTTAAATAGATCAGGCTCTCCAGGACAAGGCAGAAAGAAAAACATGCCTCTTTTGTCAAAGCCAGACAAAGCCCCACAGACCTTAAAGTGGGCAATTCAAAATTCTGAAGGGTGTTTTCACAAGAAAAAAAAAGATGGAGGGGAAAAAGTTATCTAAGCCATTACGTTCCTTCACAATAGCTCTGGTTTAAGTTTTGCCTCTTCTGATCTTCTCTCAGCTGGACTTCTGCTTTCCAGGCTGTCTTCTCTGATCTCCAGTCATCCGAGAGGCTTCTGCCAGCCTGCGAGCTGTCAAAGTAGCCCTGGAATCAAACGCCACTCCATGCTCAGCTATGATCAAAGGAACACAGGTAAGGCAGCCACAGAGACACATACAATTGGCATCTAAAAAAGTAAGCCGTCTACCCTCACACCCCTCCTTCCTTTGCTTTTTTATCTCCTGACTACACTGACACCAAGAGAAGAAACATGGAGCACATTGATCAGAATAAAGCAAAGTGATCAGGTTTTGAAGATGTGGGGGGAAGTTTGTTCTCGCCAGAAACTTTTGGACAAAGGGAGTTCTGGGATAGAGGTGAGGGCGCAGTGTAAAAGGACAGTTAAAATGCTTCACAAGTTTTTTTTTCTGCTTTGAACAATCTTTTCCCTGCTTATAATCCTCCAACGAGCGATGCCTGTCTCCAGTCAAACACATCTTTCATTTCTTGACAAAATTACCACACACACACACGCATATAAAATATATAGTTGGGGCTAGTCGTCACAAGGGAAGTATCTCACTAACTATAAGATTTTGAGTCAAAGTACAAAAAGGTGTTTTTACTGGTTTTGTACTCTGGTTTCAAACACCTTGTTAAAAACT